GAGCCATCTCTCCAGCCCCCTCCTTATTTCTTTTGCTAAGGAAAAAACTAAATCAAAATTAAAAAATAAACCTCCTGTCTTGTCTTCTGTATTCTACTAAGTCACTTTAGTGCTCTAGTTCTTGTGAATATATCTGCAACCTGTGAGAAGCCGCATTTAGGGAAAGACTGGTTCTTCAGAACTTTCCCATTGGCATACATCATCATCATCATCTCTGTGACAAAATAGGAGGACAATATTTATTGCTGTTATTTATATGAACCTTTTCAATATACACAAAGCACATATACACAAACACAACAATGATAATGACAACAATCAAGAAGAGGACAGAAAGTGGTGGAGTAAAAGATGACTCTTCTTATTTTTTTTAAAAAGAAGAACACTATAAATAATTTTTAAATAAATACACAGAGATCACAGTGACTCATGAACATGGGACAAAATGAGTAAAATTGTTGATAAAGGGCTGAAAAGATGACCCATTAGATACAAGTTGCTCTACTAGAAGACACATTTGGATTCCCAGTATCCACATGGGTAATTCCATTTCACAGTATCTGATGATCTCTTCTGGCCTCTGCATGCACAACCTGCACATGATCACACACACACACACACACACACACACACACACACACACACACACACAGGCAAAGCACCTATACACGATGCACAGAAAATACAAATAAATAAATCTTTATACATGTTGACCACAGGAGGAGACTGCAGAAGACAGAGATAGAGAGCTGGATTTCCAGACCCAAGAGAGGTCAACTTGGTATTTGAAAGGGCATTCCCAGCAAGGCAAAGCATGAACAAGTTTCAATGCAATGAGTCAGTCAGAAATGACTTATTATGATAGAGAAATAAAGGCTGTTATCTGGGTGTGAGAATCTGTTCCAGGAAACAAGAGTGGCTCGTAGGCAAGCATGAAGACCTGCATTCATATTCTCAGAACCCATGTAACAAGCCATGAATGTTTGCAGCCTCAGTACTGTGTGTGTGTGTGTGTGTGTGTGTGTGTGTGTGTGTGTGTGTGTGTGTGTTGGTGGGGGTGGGGGGCAAAGATAGAAGAAGATCTGGGGCTTGCTTACTACCAGCTGAGCTCCAGGTCCAGTGAGACATTTTTCTCTCAAGAAAATAAGGCAGAGTGATAGAGCTGACGCACACTTGATGTCCTAGTGTATGGTCCTATACACAAACGTGGGCACACATCACAGAAACACAAAGCAAAGGGAGTAAGAAAGGAAAGAAGGAAAGGAAGAAAAATAAATCACCTCATTCCAAGTAGACATTTCTATATTACTTGTCTAAAACTTCTTCAGGGTCCCCCTCCTCCCCTCCCTTCTCCTTTTTGCCTCTCTCTCCTTCTCCCCTTTCTTTTGAGACCCAGTCTTACTCTGCAATCAGCTTCCTTAGTGCTGAGATTACAGACATGTATCATCTTACCCAGGTTGCATAATGCTGAGGATTGAACTCTGAACTTTGTGCATGCTAAGCAAGCACTACTTACTGGGCTAAATCCTCAGATCCTATGATGTAGGTGGGTCATCTGTCTATGTGTTACTTTCATTGGTTAATAAAGAAACTGCCTTGGCCTTTTAATAGGGCAGAAAATTAGGTGGGTGGAGTAGACAGAACAGAATGCTGGGAAGAAGGCAATGAGGCAGATGCCATGGAGCCAGCTGCCAGGTCAGACATGCTGAATCTTCCCGGTAAGCCTCCACCTCGTGGTGCTAAACACATTAATAGAAATGGGTTAATCAAGATGTGAGAGTTAGCCAGTAAGAGGCTAGAGCTAATAGGCCAAGCAGTGTTTAAATGAATTACAATTTGCATGTTGTTATTTCGGGTGAAAAGCAAGCTGTGCAGGAGCTGGGTGGGACAAAGAGCAGGCCTGCTCATGTCATCACTACAATCCTATACTGTTGGAGGGTTCCTGGCTGCTTAGTCCCAAAGTAATCAAGCAGAAACTGTATTAATTAAATCACTGCTTGACCCACTTGCTCTAGTTTCTTATTGGTTAACTCTTACATATTAATTTAACTCATCTCCATTAATCTGTGCATCACCACGAGGTCATGGCCTACCAGCAAAGTTCCAGCATCTGTCTCCAGTGGGGCTACATGGTTTCTCCCTAACTCCTCCTTCTTTCTCACAGAATTCAATTTAGTTTTCCCCATCTACCTCTATTCTCTGCACAGGTCCAAGACAATTTCTTTATTAAACAATGGTATTCACAGCATACATAGGGGAATCCCACATCACTATACCGTCTTTGCAAAAAAAAAAAAAAATTCTCAAGGGCTGCCTCTTGGTATTGGGTAGCCAATTAGGGGGCTCAACTCTGGGGAAGAGTCATTCTCCCTCACTACAAAATGACACTAAATGAACTCAGCAGGTTGTAGTTGTATATTTACTTATATAAAATTAATAAATGATAATTAATTTTAAAGGCCATGAATTTAAGTGGGAGTTGGGGGGTCATAGGAGGAGCTGGAGGGAAGAGAGGAGTAATGATAGAAATATACTATACATAAATGATTTTTTTTTTAAAAAGAAAAGAAGTTTCTCCAACACAGCTCTCTCTAGCTCTCAATTACCACAAGGACTTTAGGGAAGTATGTGGAAATATGAAGAGCAAGTGTCCTACATGTATTGGTCCAGTTTTTAGATGGTAGAGGCAGGAGAATTTTGAGTTCAAGGCCAAACACAGCTACATAAGAATTTTCAAGCCACCCTGGCTTTCATGAGACCTTGTCCAACTAAATAAGCAAAGAAACGTTAGCAAAGAAAAGGAAATAGGTAAACATTTGCTCATCTTTGAACTAAGTATAGGAGTGAAGGAAACAGAAAGGCAGTGGGCAGCTGAAATGAACCAGCCAGGTATCCCTGCATCACGTCATTCCAGAGTCTCACAAGAGGCAATGCATTTTAGACGTGACTTCATGATGGAGGTAGGTCATCTTTTTATCTGTTGTTTCATTGGTTAAGTAATAAAGAAACTGCTTGGACTCTGATAGCGTAGAATTTAGATAGTCATAGTAAACAGAACAGAATGCTGGGAGAAAGAAGCTGAGTTGATGAGTCGCCATGATTCTCCCACTCCAGACAGACGCAGGTTAAGATCTTTCCTGGTAAGCCAGCTCGTGGGCTTCACAGATTATTAGAAATGGATTAGATCAATATGTAAGACCTAGCCAATAAGAGTCTGGAACTAATGGGCTGGGAAGTGTTTAAAAGAATACAGTTTCCATGTAATTATTTTGGATAAAGTGAGCCGTGCAGGCGGCCACGTGCCAGGAACGTAGCCCGCTGCTCCTATTACAACAACTTCAAGATAATAAAGAGAGATAGTTCTCCAACTCCTGTTGCAGAGCTCATTGACTCCTAAACAACGCTTTTCTGGTGATTCTGGATTGCTAAAAGAAGGAATTCATAAACTATCCTGTGAGTTAGTTCTTTTTACTCTATGTAGAGAGGCAAAAGCCTGCAGGCAGGTAACCTACCTGTTCCACAGGCAGCTTAGGATAAACTAAGGTTTGCTCTTCTACCTCATGGCAGAAGTTTGGATACAGAATCTAACACTCACTAAATAAGATATCAAAATTACAACAGAATGTTCCAAACCTTGTTCTGTTTATAGATTTTGGATTGAGAATACAAAAGCTAAAATTAGCTATTGCCACTTGCTTGGTTTCCCAACTGAGCTACTTATTGCCATGGAGGAAACCACCTCTAGCAGAATTAGGAGCATGGTTAAGAAAGCTAAGATTATGATTTTCTTGGCTTCATTTCTGTTCTATATTGTCTCCCCCCTTCTCCTCCGACTCTGTTGTTTTTACATATGCATAACACTTTATAACATGCAGTTGGCTATTTATGCTTAATAGACATTGTTACTGATCTGTATGTGAATTCTTACTATAAACTTATTTGGATCTATTAAAAACATGAGGGTACATGCATAATTTTAGCACACTATTAAAGACATGACATAGGGAAGTATGTATAGCTAACACTCATACAAATGCAAATACCTATATCATATATATCTATATTTATGGACTGAATGTCTATGCTCTTCCCAATATGAAAATTAAAGTCCTAAACTGAAGTCGTATGAGCATTTGGAGTTGGAACATAACTCAGTTTAGATGAGGTCATGAGGGTGAGGTAACCATGGCTGAATTTGTGTTCTTATGATGAACAGAAGACAGACCAGGGCCCTTCTTTCTTCTACTACAAGAGGGCACAGCTGTATGCAGGTCATCTTCAGGCCGACACGCAGAAACATCAGCTGTTCATGTCACCAATCTAGACCATTCTGTCATAACAGTCTGAGCTGTAGAACCCTATGCCTGTATGTTTTTGACAATTCACAGAACGTAGCTGGAAAACTAAGTGAGAAAACAGGGCTGCTAGTCATTTCTCATAAGATAAAAATAATGAATATAAGACTTTAAATGAGAAAGGTGGACAAGATCTGCTATTACATCAATTAAGATCTATTTATTTATACTGTAGACCTTTATTTGAATATGTGATGTATGTGTACAAGATGCTTTAATCAATAACAATCACAGTGTCTTTTAAAAAATATCTCAAAGGGTCATCTAAACGAGTAGTCTTCAATCTGTGCGACAATTCCTTTGGAAAACCTTTATCTCCAAAAATATTTACGTTTACTCTTCATAACAGTAGCAAACTTGCAGTTGTGACATAGCAACAAAAATAATTTATTGATTGGAACTCACCAAAACATGACAGACTGTATTAACGGTCACAGTATTAGGAAGGTTGAAACCACTAAATATCAAAGCAATACTTAGAAAGTACCAGCAGTTCACCAATATTAATGATCCATCAAGGGCTTATAAAAAAAATGGTGACACAATGTTTAACAGTGTCTGAAGATGCTATTTTTCCCAGGGTCTCATCCTCTGCTCAGAGAGGTGACGATACCTTAGTAGGCCAGAAAATGGAGTCACACTTACCAGTAGAACCTATTTGGAACCACGGATTCCTGGATAAGCTGCCATCTTCTGCCAAATTCAGCAGAGCTGTACAACTGGAGAGAGAGAAGAAAGAGATCAGCATTGTTGGCCCTGGTTCTTCTCCTTGGATTCATCAGTAGCAACACCTGGGATTTCCAGGTGAGGGCATCACCTCTGTTTTCCAAGTCAGTTATGCAGGTCAGATATCAACATCTCACATTATTACTTGAGGGGAGTGGGGCTAAGGGATCACATAATGTGTTGTGAATCATTTACTCAGTAAATAGTGACACAAATTGGGATTTGTACTGTGCTCTGCCTGTTCACAATGCCTGCTGCCCCCCTGACAGCACTCGCAACATGTAATGAATAATATCCAGGGTAACATCAATACTTAGTTTCTGAAGATCCTACTAGGATACCTGATCCTAATGGAAACTGAGGTTCTTGAAACAACTAAAGATGGAGGAATGCAGAGGGTACTTCTAGAAGTTTGGAGAAACAAGTAGGGTCTAAAGAAATAACAGAACTCAAACTGATAAGAACCACATTACTTACAAAGGGGCAGTGGGGAGTCAATGTTGTAAGCTAGGTAGGGCCAACATAAGAATCAACGTGGTCTATCTCTATGTGTTTGGCTGCAGAATATAAATTCAAGGCGAACATACTCGATCCCAGAGGCAATGAGCTAATACTGGTCTTGATTTCTTTTTTCCCTTTTATTAAATCTTTTCTCATACAATATATACTGACTAGTTTCCCCTGCCTCTACTCCTCCTAATTCCTCCCTACCACTAGATCTCTCCTCTTTCTGTCTCTCATTAGAAAAGAACAGACTTCTAAGAGATAGCAACCAAATGAAATAAAATAAAATATAAGAAGATAAGGGAAAACCTATCATAGAGAAGTTAGATGTGGTATCCCAACTTTGGAAGACTTCAAAGAGCAAGCACTTCAGGTGTCCCATAAAATACTAAACAGAAAGCTATAACATATGTAGAGGACCTAGTGCAGATCCACTCAGGCACTGATCTTTCTGCTTCAGACTCTGTGAGCTCATATGTGCCTTGCTCAGTTGAGTCAGGAGGCCTTGTTATCCTGATGTCCTTTATCCCCTCTGTCTCTTACACTCTTTTTACCTCCTCCTCATTAGGGCTCCCTGAGCTCTAAGGGGAGCAATTTGATGAAAACTTCCCATTTAGATTCCCTCGCACTGCTGTCTAACTGTCAGTCTCTGCATCTGTTCCCATCTGCTGCAGGAAGAAGCTTCTCTGATGATGACTGGATAAGGCACTGATCTATGAGTGTAGCACAATATCAGAAGTACCTGGTTTTACCCCAGGTCTCCAGGCTATGCACTCTGGTTCTTCTTACCCTATCAGTGTCAGATATGAATTCCTTCTTGTGGAGTGGGCCTTAAGTCAAAATAGACATTGATTGGCACTCCCTCAAGTTCTGCTAGTCTTTGAAAGAGCAAATAAAGGAAACTCGGTTATAAAACCCTAAGCCGCACAGACCAAGCTCTTACTAAAACTCAAGTTTTCTCCGTACATTATCTCATTCACCCCTTGTCACTCCAGCCCTGCGAAGAATAAAGTTATTATGACCATTTTATAGATGGTTACCCAGGTGGTAACATTTCACATGGCCAGACTCTCCACACATCCCATGCCACAAATGTCTTTTATTTCTCTCTCTTATGGCGTGTACTTCATTTCCACTTCTCATTTCCGCTCTGACGATCTCTATGTCAGCCCAGGACCCTGTGTACCCAAGTGTCCTCTTATGGAAGATTGAAGAATATTTTTTTCTCTAGGTACCTGCTGTCCAGAGTGGTCAACCACTGATTAGAAAAGCAACATGTGGCATTTTTCTTTTCTGGCTTGTGCCTGGTATATGCTACACCTGACCCTCAACATCTTATCTCTGCATTTGCCATCTCCCACACTGAGTGGATGGTGAGTCATTGTACTGAATAGAGGCATTACCTGCCTCCTCTTCTCTTTCCAGCCACACAAACTGTACAACAATAACAAAAGGTCAAATGAATCACCAAGTGACTCACAAAAGCTGTTGATGCACCAAGCATGCCCAAAGAACACCTTACTTCAATTAAGTATTTACTGGCCCTTGGAAGGACCTGCTTATTTGGCCAAAACACATCCTATAATCCAGAAAGGATGAGATGCCCAGCTATTAAAGCAAGTCACTCATTGGCTCCACTGTATAGTATTTGATCCACCAACAAAGGAGACTATGACATTTTGTCTCAGTCTTCTTTTGTAACTATACTTTTACCATTCCTTGACAAAGTTGGAATGTTGAGTGTTCCTAATAGGCTCACATGTAAATGGTAGGGACCCTCAGTAACACCAGTGGGAGACAGTGGAATCTTTGTATGGGAGCATTGTAGGGAGACCATTAATCAGTGGTTGCATATCCTAAATGTCACTGTGACACCATAGGGTCTTCTTTCTCTTTTGTGATGTCAGTCCATAAAGTTAACAGGGGTGCTCAGCTTCCCATGATATGTTGAATCACAGCTGGCTGAAATTTATGAGTCTAAGAATTCTTTCTCTTAATAAACTGATTAACTCTGATATTTTAATATGATTGTGAGCAATGTTTTCAGCCAAGCAAGGCAGAAAATAGGGTTCTTAGAAGTGCTTCATGCTACATACACACAGACACAACACATACACACACTCTTCTGTGTATGGTTGTGCAAAAGTTTGTGTGTGTGATTGATGATAGGCATGCATGTGCCACAGTGCTTCCATGAAGGTCAGAGGGCAGCTTTGAGTATCAGTCCTTTCCTTTGACCTTCTTTCAAATGAGGTCCCTTGTTCACACTTTCCATGTCAAGGTACCTGGGCTGAATGCTGTGGTGGATTCTCTTTTCAGCTCTTCAGCTCTCCATTGGAAGGCTAGGATTTTACAGGTCTGTGGTACGGAGCCTAACTTTGTGTGCGATCTATATATCCGAACTCAAGTCTTCATGCTTGGATGGCAAATGGTTTTCACATTAAGTCATCACCCGTGCTAGATCCATTTTCAGAATGCCAAAGCAAGATAGAACCACAGCTTCCTTCACAGAAGCAAGGAAGGAAAGGACAACTTACTCTTTCTAGACACTGAACCCAAAGAGCCTGGGAAAGCACAGCTCAATTCTTATTCCAATCGTGCCTAAAGAGAACTTGGCTCTTTGAAAAATTGTTGGGTGCTGCCATCTGTGTTTGCTCTTTGTCTCCACCTTTCAAACTTCACCCACTCAACCTGGACTCAGCCTATGGAACAATCAGTTATTTCTCCTGATGTAGGTATGTGTTGGCAAATGGCTGTTTTGTTATCTGTGAGCATTTAAAGAGCCCACAAACATCAAGCATACACAGCAATCCAATCAACGAAGTCTGTCTTATGCAGCTCAGCAGCATCCTTCATTGTTCTGTTTTGGGAAGCCACCCATAAGATTATAAACTGATTGGCCCATTAGCTCAGGCTTCTTGTAAACTCTTGTAGTTTATATTAACCCATTGTTTTTATCTATGTTAGCCACATGGCTCAGCACCTTTTTCAGTGGGGTAGGTCACATTCTATTTCTTCGGTGGTCTGGGCAGGAGTGTGGAAAGGGCTTCCTGATTCCCAGAATACTCCTGTTCTCATCGCCCCACCTCTACTTTCTGTCTGGTTTACCCACCTATACTTCCTGCCTGGCCAATCAGCATTTATTTAAAACATGATTGACAGAATACAGACAATTCTCCTGCACCACTCCCCCCCTTTTTTTTAAACAAAGGAAAATATCCATTGTCCATTTTTCTAGGAATGTGGGCATAGTACTCCAGGTTACTTCCAGCTGGTTGGGGGCACTGTTAATCTTATGGGGACCTAAAGAAAATTTAGAGTTATGATCAAGTCCTCACTGGAGTATCCTGTAAGGCTTGATCTTCTCAGGCAGTAGTCTTGAATCTGTTCTGGATGTAGAATTCAGACATATGGGTCATCTGTTCCTACCAGAGATTTCTCAGGTGGCCTTCCTTGACAAAACCTGATTTTTCTTAACTCATAATGAATCCACAGTCTCTTATTTCCTGTGGGAACAAAAGCATAATCTCTTCTCCAAAGTAACGTATCTTTTGACTGCAATTTTGAAGTCAAGGTATTTTTAAAATACCTATCTTGGATCAATTCAGCAGCATTCATAAGCAAATATCTTTTGGCAGCTGTTGCTCCTTCCTCAGATTTCAAACAACTTAAAGAAAGCCTAATACCATACAGTATGCAGATTCTCTGTGTATTTTCTATCTTTACATGGGTCTATTTCTTTTATTTTTAATTTTTGACTTTTTGAGACAGGGTTTCTGTATATCTTTGTCCTGGAACTCACTCTGTAGACCAGCCTGTCCTTGAACTCACAGAAATCTGTTTGTCTCTACCTTCCAGGCATTGGGACTAAAGGTGTGTGCTACTACACCTTAAAGTCACAGAGGTCAATCTACCTCTGCCTCCCAAGTGTTGGGATTAAAGGTGTGTATCACCATACCCAACTACTCTCTCTCTTTTTTTTATCTTAAGAACTTTAACCTTTAGCCTGCATATAATTTCAACATACATAAACCATTAGTTTTTTATCTTTGAATCTCTTGTTACTGTTTATCTCTCTTTTTCTGACCACCTGAGTCTTTAATTTACCAAACAATATGGATAGGATTAAAGTCGTGGCTTTGAAGGCTGGATCCAGCCCATTTCTTAGCTTTATGAGATACAATATATCAGTATTTAACTGTTTCAGTATTTTTCCTTGACCTTTCAGTAGCTTTATAACAGTGAAAAGTGGAATTCCTACCTAAATAAAATCACATTTAAATATCTGGGAATGTTCTCCAACTTCTTAAAGAGACAAAAATATTTTCAAAGGTCACCTATCCCACATTTCTGCTTTCACAGGTACCTAGAACTTAGATAGTCAAGGTATAAGTACTGATGTTTTATAGTGATGTCCCCTTATCAGAATATTCATAATAAAAAGCTCATGTTTCAGTGCATGCACAATGGTAATTCATATAGGGGAATA